TGAACCCTCCTTCAGTGATTCACCAGCTGTTTTCCTGTGTTCCAGGTGTTCCATCTTTTCACTGTCTGTCAGTAGTCGCGCTGTCCGGCGGATTCTGACAGCCTGTCTCCTCTCTTTCCTGGCTCTCCTTGGCTCTGTATCCATCGACCTAAGCTCCAACTTTGAACTGCTGCACACTACAGAAGCAGCTTACGATGAGCTGACTTCCTGCAGAGCGGTGGCTATCCAGCAACTCGTCGCTACACTTCAGGAGATGAGGCGTTTATCTGCCAAAGACACAGGCAACAAGATGCTGGAGGCAAGTCTTTCAGAGGGTGCGTTTCCTGTGTTCAGTCATCTCTGTGGTGAAATGGTGGGTCGCAGTAACAGCCATGGGCCCCCTTGTAGTGTTGAGTTGGCCGGATTTTGCCAGGAGATGAAGAGGAGCATTCAAAGATTTCTGAATGCTTCATTAGATACAAATGGCACCCGTGCAAACGGTGCTTCTGCCTTCTCCTTTGTCATTGGAAGACTTCTCGACAGCTGGGGCACAGTAGAAGACACTGTAGTCAAAGTCAAACAGAACTTTAACTGGAGAGCTGTGCTGTCTGCCAGACTTCTGATAACATTCACAGAGCTCAACCACCAGTTGATGGACGTCCCCCACATGGCAGCTCACACTGACTTCCAGTACAAGTGGACTTACATACTAACTTATCTGGGCTTCGCCAGGGTTATGACCGAACAGCTGAATGACTGCTGGTTAGAGAACATAGACCTGAAGTTAAACCTCAGCCGGCGAGCACCAGACACGAGTCTGTGGCAGATCTCTGGAGCAGCAACAGAGCTTCTGTCTGGGTCTCACGAGGCAATTCAAGCTCTGACCAAAACTCAGCAGTGCTTGTTTGATCGTGCCGTGCCCGCTCTCAGGTTGGCGTTTCGATCGGTGTCCTCTGGCCTCAGTATGAGGATCTGCCTGCTGGCCATGGCCTGCCTCATCTACCCGGTGGTGATGTTCTCTTTCCAACAGATGACAGAGTGGATACAGAACTACGCACAGACCTTGAAGGAGAAGACCCAGGACCTGAAACGCCAAAGGCAGCTGGCTGAAGATCTGCTGCACCAAATGCTGCCCAAGTCAGTGGCCAAGCAGCTTCGCCAGCATAAACATGTGGAGGCTGAGAGCTATGAAAAGGTTGGTGCCGGTAAAGACCAGCTTCAAAATAAACGTGAGAAGAGAGAGTGAGATCATGCATTTGAAGAATCATGTTTGATTATGTATCTTGAATTTCTAGTTTTAACAGCTGAACTAGTTCCATGTGCTCCTTTTGTGGCGCTTTAGATGACGTGAACATTGTTTTGTCACAAGTCGGATGAGAGCATAGTGACTGAAGCTTTTCAGAGTCTGATGCTGCACAGGATGTAAAATGTGTTAGAGAAAAGCTTCATTTTGTGGTGAACAGATGTCATGGCGTCTTCTGGTCAGTGTTCAAACCTTAAAGGCAAATGGGAGAAATCGACAACAGGTAACACAACAATGTTTTGCTCCTCCTCGTTCACTGTTATTATTGAATTGGAACAAATTCAGAGTGTATAACGTTGCGAGGTGTGTGGGGTGCTGCTGCGAGGACGCCCCCTCTGTAGCCACATTGAATGATGTGTGTGTTTGCTGCCTTTGTTGCTATTGTTGGTATAATTACCTATAATTGCTCTGTTCCATATTCATCAGGAGATAAAACAAGTTTCTGAGGTGAAAATTGCATCTGGATTATTGAAGAGGTTTGAAGCAGCTGTACCGAAAGCACTCTGCTGGGGGGGGGGGATTTACACCAATTCAGGTCTTGGGAGTATTCTGGAAAGGAAATGTTAGACCCACTTCTTCTTCTTGTTCCAAACTAGCAGGAAAAGTAAAAAATGAGCCTAGAAGGGTGCTGTCTGAGGAGGACCTCCCTGATACTAATGGTCTAGGACAGGGTATGCAGCACCTGTTGTGGGCTGACTTCTGAAGAAATGAGAGGTGCTTCTGGACTTTGGGCTTCACTAAACAGGCACATAGCGCTCACATCAGGAAAAAGCCTCTTTATCAAAGTGATGCCAGTCATTGTGGAGGGAAAGGCAAAGTGACAAGAGATGTTTGAGGCTGATATCTCACATTTATTTATATCATTTGATTTTTTTTAACTAAAAAATACAAATTCATCCTCCCCTGCTATCACCTCCTTCAAATTAACAATCAAAGACAAGTGCAAGCTATCAAGGTGTCTCATAAAACACAAAAACTGTCTGTCAAATGAATGGCCACAGGACTGGAAGAACATATGGAAATACTGTGTAGTACATATGGATTTACTGGAGGACTGATGTATTCGTCTGGTAGCAGGTTAGGTGTACCTAATAAACTGGCAAATGAATAATAATTGTGCACACAGATGGAGTCACTTCTCATTTTGTTCCAGGTGACCATTTTCTTCTCAGACATTGTGGGCTTCACAGCCATTTCTGCATCCTGTACTCCTCTGCAAGTGGTGGAGATGCTCAACAACCTCTACATGTGTTTTGACACACGCATCGACTCCTATGACGTCTACAAGGTAACGGTGAAATGTCCAAATGCACAAGTCAGGTACTGAAGTAAAAGTAGCAAAACCACAGTGTAAAAATACTCTAAGTAAAAGTCCTGCATTCACAATGTTAAGGAAAAGCACAGAAGTGTCAGCATCAAAATACGCTTAAAGTAGCCAAAGTACTGCGTCCCACTAATGTCTCTGATGCTACTGGATCATAGTGACTGATGCCTGTTCATCACTTTAATGCAACATGACATGAATGCTGCCTACTAGACTACTCAGAGCCAAGTGATTTCAGCTATTTGCTAAATCTTGTGTTGGATCACAGTGAAGTCAACGTCATTTAAAGTGTAAAACACTGGAAATGCCATCTGTGGACCAGAGATGAAATCAGCTTGATCTAACTTCCCAACCAGGTGGAGACGATTGGGGACGCGTACATGGTGGTGAGCGGTCTGCCGGAGAGGAACGGGGACCGACACGCTGATGAGATCGCTAAGATGGCTCTGGACCTGGTGGCAGCCGTCAGACAAGTGTCCATCCCTCACATGCCCAACCAGAGGCTGCAGCTCCGAGCTGGCATCCACACAGGTGAGGGCGGCGCCTGGCAGGTCACACAGGAGCTTTAATCTGGTTGCTTTATTCTACAGTGGATAATAAGCAACCAAAGCAGCAGGTCCTGTGTGTGTGCGCGTGGGGCGTGGGGTCGCCAAGTTCACCTGTTATTTTGGATCACGTAGGTGCAGCAGTGCGAAGCGCAGAAGGGCTGACTGAAGTTTAATATAGAGTGGAGGACATGGTGATTAACAACAGCTGTGCTCTGTAGGTCCATGTGTGGCGGGAATAGTGGGCTACAAGATGCCAAGGTACTGTCTGTTTGGAGACACTGTCAACACAGCATCTCGAATGGAATCCACAGGATTGCGTGAGTGTTTCATATAGCATCATAAAGGCCAGACACATCTTCTTCCTTCTGCTACAAACACAGCTGTTAGGCTGACTTGAACATCGCAGACTTGTGTCTCCTAGTGGTTGTATCCCAGGACAATGGCACACAACAGTGCAGTGTTATCATCACTGTGACTTTCTATTAAAATATGATCTGGTAAGTTATGCTGATGCCATATTAGTTTTTAATGAATTAAATGGCATTGCTCCCTTTGTTTTCACTCTGGATATGTGGAAACAAAGCTCCTAGCCGACACACACGAGCTGCTGTTAGAGGAGAATGAGTGATACCGTGCGCAAAAAGCTCATTTGGCCAATCTGCCTTTTCTTCTCGTGCATCACATGGCTGGAACATATCACCGATGGACTTAGGAGACCTGTATGGCATCTCTGCAAAATCCTTGAAAGTCTGACTAATGAGAAAATAAGTCTTGATGTTAATAAATGTGTATTTGTCCTGCTTTCAACTTTTTTGTCACTGCTTGTGTGTCAGCTCAGAGAATCCACATCAGCTCAGAGACCTACATGGCCCTGATCAGAGACAACGCATACGAGCTGCAGCTTCGTGGAGAGACCGAGGTTAAGGTAAAATCCCCGTTGTGCCGTGAAGTTTGGTCAAGGAAACTAATTCAGGTTAAGATGTCATTTTAAAGGTTAATATAAAAGTTGCTGAACAGATGAAAATCCACAGCTGTGCAATAAAAACATTGTACTGTGAATTTAAAATCATGCTTGTTATACTTTACCTCATGTTGTTTACCTTTACAAAGCCAAGTCTCAGCCAAAATCACAGTTAACGGGTCAGTTCACACTCATGTATCCTCTCACTATGATGTTTTATTTGACCAGATTCCAAGATAAAATAAGATTTTATTGTTCCCCAAGAAGAAATTAGCATGTCATAGCAGCACAGAGAGGAAGGAAAAAGAAATAATAACATATTAAAAAAATAAAGAGCATTAACAAAATGATATACTATATAAACATTACACAACTAAAATATTAGTTATATTAACTATATAAATATTAGTTATTTAGAAAAAAAGAAAAACGAGATTACTTCAGTGATATGGGATTATATGTAAAATTGTGAATAACAGTGAATGTCTATAATGATATAGACATTATATGTAACAATTTACACAGTGTGCAGTGATAGTGCAACACTATGGTGTAAATGAAGTGAAAAATGGTGTAGCATTAATCTAGATACAATAACAACAGTATATAAGCATCATAATGCAGTGGATGGTTTAGTGCTGTTGTTGTTGGGGTGAACAGACCCAGTCAGTCCCGTCTGTCCTTCACTCTCCTCCAGGGTAAAGGCAAAATGAACACATACTGGCTGATCGGCCATAAGAACTACAGTGTGCAGAA